CTACCAGGGCTCTGAAGAGGTGGGTCAGATCCCTGGACTCCTGCCCGCTGCACAGCCCCAGAACAGCAACACCCACCAGTGACCCCACCAGCCCCAGGACTACCTGCTGCCTGCCACGGGCCACCTCAGCCCCTGCTCTTATCCCCTCCCACGCCCGTGCCATTCCCAGCCACTCAGCCCCATCACTTCCCATGAAGAAACTCTGGTTTCTCCTCTGAACCATGTGCCTCATCCTTTTCCATGTGCCTCATCCTGCTGTGTACCTTCCACTGCTGCTGATTTCCTTTCTTTGCCTTCTTCTGCCCAGTCAGCCCCACACCCCATACTCCCACCACTGCTGGCCATGAGAAACCCCCTTCTCACCAGCAGGACCTTTTCTCTCTCCCTGCCATCCACAGGCTACATCCCAGTGTATCACCATCTGGCTCTCCTTGCCCAGGGGTGTGAGCTCCTCTCCTGGCCAGTATTCCCTGCTGCAGAGCCCCAGTTCCATTTCCTGTTCCATCCATTTCCCTCAGCTTCCTTGGCTGGCAATGCACCATTTCCCTCTGCTCCTCTGCAGCTCTCCAGTTCCATCCCTGCCACGGCAGCACAAGGACCCCAGGTGACATTGTGTGCCCTTGGGGACCACCAGCAGACACTGACCCAGCTGCTTCTCATCCTCCTTTCCTTCCCTAGCTCAGCTGCAGGGAGGAATTCAGCCTGTGCCCATGGCATCACTGGTCATGGGCACTCGGCATCCTGTAAAGAGAGGGGCCAGGCTGCAGTGGGCAGGGCCAGGGGTAGGGCCAGGCAGCTCCCCCAGCCAGTGGGCAGCTCGAGCCCGGCCAGCTCACTCTGCCCGGGGGCAGCCAGAGCAACCACCACCTGCTTAATCTGCTGCCATCGAGAGAAATTCGATAAACCACGAGCAGCCTTTTGATGGGAGTGAGCCAGCACCGAAGTCCCGCTCCCTGTTCCCTCCCTGCTACCTCCCAGGGCTACCCTACACACAAGGGAGGTTGCAGAGAGGAACAGCCAAGTCCCTGGGGTCTGGAGGAACATCTAGACCTGTCCCCCAATTCTGCAGGGCGTCTCTTCCCCCACTTCCCGTGTTGCCTGCTGGCTCTGCCCACCCCTATGACCCACCATAGGGAGGAACAAAAGGCCTGGAGAGCCACAATTAACTGGATCAGCTAAGATTAATTGGGCAGAGATTAGCTAATGAAACCACTCTTAAATCCAAGGGCTACGAACTGGCAGCCTCTCCTGCTGAGAGGTGACCAGTAAGACAGGGAGCATTGTCCCCAAGTGCCACCAGCCACCAAGCTCTTCCCCAAAGGATGCGGAGGAACGTGCTCTGCTGCCAGTCCCTCAGCTCCAGCAGATGACGAGGGAAATCCAAGGTGAGTTTCCCTTTGCATGCATCCAACCCCACGTCACCTCAGTGACTCAGTACTCAGACGCCCCATTTGGCTGCACCGGTGTATTCTCAGCAGCTGCCAGGCTTTGTTACGGTGAGCCCTTCCCCTGCACCCTTTGTTGGGGCCCCCCAGCTCTGACTGGGACCATGGGACTCTGTCCTGCCTCTAGGGCAGCAGGGAACACGTTGACAGATGACACGGCAGCGTCAGTGCCTGCCAGCCAAGCTCCTCACCCACCTCCCGCCCCACACAGGACAAGGGGCCATGACGGTGCAGTTTTCTCCAGAGCAGCACCTGCCAGGCAGGGAAGCAGCTCAGAGGACAGCCCAGGACAAGGGCAAATTCCCCCCGTGCTCAGATGAAATCCAGCCCCTGCTTCCCCGGTGTCATCACAGGCACCCTGCCCATTGCCCCTTCAGATCCTGCCCACCCCAATGCGGGACAAAGCTTCAGGGCAGAGTTTGCAGCTCCCTGAGGATTTTCATGCACATTCAGTTTACAGGTAGCAAATGTAAAGGATGGATGAGGGTTTGTGTTCCCCATCTCTGCTGCAAAGTAACCCCACCCCCATCCCTGCTCCCTCCATCCTCTCTTCCAGACACTCAAACCCAAAGCAGGGAAAAGCTGCACAGAAAAGGCAGTGAGCTCCAGTGGGTGCCCAGCATTGCTGGGCACGGAGAAAGGTTGCAAGGGAGGGGGCAGACAACAGATTCCTACAAGACCCAGGGCTTGAGGGGCTGCAGCTCTTGCCACATGCAGGGAGGTGGAAGGCGGTGGCAGCATCTTTGCCAACACCAGCTGCCACCTCCCAGACAAAATGGAGGTCAGCAGCAGCATGCCGAGATGGCAGAGCCACCACACCCCTGGCCATACCCAGGGGAGGGGGAGGGTCTGCTGCCTCCCTGCCCCCCAGTGCCACGAAGGCCACCTGCGTGGGGCTGCTCTGGGCGCTGGGACGGGACGGGTGCCTGGGAGATGCTCGGCTGGGTCCTTGTCCTCCCCGAGCCCTGATGCTGCCGCATGGCACCTGAGCAGGCAGGAGATCGGCTCACACGGGGGTCTGCAGGATCCAGGGGAGGGGTCACTGCCCCGTGAAGGGGGAGGAGGAGGAGGAAGAGCAGGAGAAGGAAGCAGAGGAGTAAGACAATAGGTCAGGTGCAGGGCTGCTCCCTGCGGACCTGGATGACCAAGCGTGGAGCTCTGCACCCCGGGACCTGCCCCTTCAACAGCCAGCAGCCACTGCACTGGCCCGCAGTGACATGGCGGCCCTTGTCCAGCCACTCCACAGCGCAAGGTCACCGGCAGCTGCTCGTCCTTGGGGGCCCAGAAGAGCTTTAGCATCGCAGCATCTTTGCCAGCTACCCGCGGTGAGAGCCCCAGGTGGGGCATCCGCCACTCCCTCCAGCGCTGCTGTTTAACTCTGAAGCATTATGATGATGACGCAAGATGGCTCAGCTGCATAACCACAGCCATCTGCCCCGGAGGGGAGAGCAGGGTTAGCTCTGGGGTACAAGGAGTTCCTGTGCCCCCGCCATGGGCTGCGGGGATGGCATCCTCCCCCTTGGCACCCCGGCTGGGGCCAGGGCAGCAGAGGCGTCTCCTCGTCCGCGGGCATCCTCCCCCACCCTGCTCCGGCTGGATCCTTCTGGAAGATGGGGCGGCACCCGGCGGTCACCGCGCTGGGGACCCGATGGCAGTTTTCCCCCCAGACAACTTCGAACATCGGGGGGCTCCGCAAAATGGCCACCGGCCGCAGCCCCCCCCCCGCCCCGCCCGACCCTCGGGGATGCGCATCCCGCTCCCACCCGCCACGCCTCGCCCCCGCCGGGGCCACAAGGAGCGTCACTGCCACCCCGTCACTGCCACCCCCACAGCCCCGATTCCCCCCTCAGCCAGTGCCCCGGGGGCGCGGTGGGGGTGCCCCGTGCCGCGCGATGCCGCCCGCCCCTACCTGTGATTCCCGTGGCCGTGCCCGTGGCCGGTTCGGAGGGGCGCAGCGCTCAGCCGTGGGCGGGGGCCGCCGGCATGAGGCCGAGCCGCGCGGTGCGATGCTGTTCCGGTGTCGGTGTCGGTGTCGGTGCCGGTGCCGGTGCCGGTGCGGGTGGCAGCGGCCCCGCCCCTGCGGTCCCCGCCCCACGCGCTGGTTGGCGGCCGCCGCCGCCCGGAGGGGGACGCGGGGACCGGGAGGGCGCGCTCGGGGATGGAGCGGTGACGTCAGCGCATCCCCCGGCCCCGGGCGTGCTGCGGAACCGCCGCAGGGGCGGGGCGGGGCGGTGCGGCACTCGGCAGCTGTCGCCTGGCAACCGGCACCGGTACCCCGGTCCTCCGGTACCTCGGTACCACCGGACCCCAAACCGGACCCCGGTACCGCTGTTCCCCGAGGAGCGGCCCTCGCCAGGGCTTCCCGTGAGCCCGCTGCCGTCAGTTCGCTCCTCCGTCCGCCGAGCCCCCGCCCGCCGCCCGGGGCACGGCCGCTCTGCCCATCTGCGCCCGGAATACAGAGCCAGCGCAGAAAGCGGATTATTCCTTCGCTGCCAGCTGTTTCCAGCAGCATGGCCACCCTCGCTCCACGGCAGCCCCGAAGCCACGCGTCCCCGCCCCAGCCATGCCCCAAATCTTCCTAGAGGACAGGCAACTGGGAGATCTTCATCCCATATGTCGTCATGGCTTTGGGGGGGATCATGGCTGGGCAGCAGTCCCCAGGCTGACTGTGGCTTTCATCAGCCGTGCGGGAGCACACTCATCTGCCCTCAGCTCCTCTCAGTGGTAGCCACCCAGCTGCTGGGCAGATGTCCTCTAGGTGTCCCTTATGTCTTCAGCAGCAGCCACTGGTGCCAGTTCTCACCCCTATGCTGCCATCCTTAGCAAAAGCTTTACTCACTGAGGGGCTCCTCTGGGCAGGGACCCAGTCATGGGTCTGCTAAAGCTGGCAGCTTGTTTGCATTTCAGGGTATGGATGGCGAAGAACGTGCCAGAGGTTGGGCACAATGCAACATGCTATGGGTACACATGGCAGGTAACAGAATATCGAACTGCCACCTGGGACCTGTGGCATTCTCAGCATACACTGGGATGCTCATGCTCCAGGCTGAGCCTGCAGAGCACAGCTCACTGTGGCAGGGAATGTGTCCGTGTCCCAGTCCACAGCCCTGGTGCACATCAGTCCCACTGGCCAGCCTCCTTCAGGCTGTGACCCAGCCAGATGCCCCTCTGCAAGACAGGTCCCTGGTCAGGGAGCCCTGGTCAACAGAAACTTTTTGCTGCAGGAGGAGCTATGAGCGTGGCAGCTGTGCCAGAGCAGCCTCAGCAAAGCCATCCCATGGCACAGGATCCAGGTGCCCAGAGCAGGGATCCCACCTATTGGGGTACTGTTGGGAAACATTAGCCCTGGTGTTGTGGGGGCCAAGGAGACAGGGACTGCCTGGGTGCTTGGGAGTACCAGAGGCTGGCGTACCTGGAGAGTGATGAGCACTAGCAAGGGGACATCCTCCAAAACGAGGGGCCCAAGACATCAGGGATAGCACAGGTGACACATTAACCAGACAGAGCAGGCAACCAAGGGTAGAGTCCAGACTGGCAGGGGGGAGCACTGAATTCTGGGTCAAGGTCCGTGGGGAAACTGGACACTGCTGGAACAAGATACACTGTGCTGCAATGCTGGCAGCTGCTCAGGCAGCCTGCACTGCTCCTCTTCTCTGGGCTCAGCTCCTGGGGACAGCACATCGTGCCATGGCCACCAGCCTGCTCCGCGTTCCCCCGCCGGAGGAGCTGCTGCGGCCCCTGGCCGTGCCGGAGAGGCTGCTGCTCGGGCCAGGGCCCAGCAATGTGCCCCGCCGCATCCAGGCTGCGGGCGCTCGGCAGCTCCTGGGCCACATGCACCCTGAAGTGCTGCAGGTGAGCTGCCCCAGCCCAGCTTTCCTTCCCTCCCCTCCTCTTCCTCACCCCCAGGAGAGGTTGGAACAGCTCTGCTGGGGCAAGAGGAGCAATAGCAGTGCTGGCCAGCGTCCTGCTGCCACAGGTAATGGATGAGATCAAGGCAGGTATCCAGTACGCCTTCCAGACACAGAACCAGCTGACCCTGGCCATCAGTGGCAGCGGCCACTGTGCCATGGAGGCTGCCCTCTTCAACCTGCTCGAGCAAGGTGACACTGCACTGGTGGCCATCAACGGCATCTGGGGACAACGCGCCGCCGATATTGCCAGGAGGCTGGGTATGCTGGGAGCAGGCAGATGGCATGGCAGGGCTGAGGGGACTGGGCTCGAAGGCAGGGTGCTTCCCCAATCCTGTCCCAGTCCTGACAGTGCTCAGTGACACAGCTTACACAATCAGAGAGCACTCTGCTAGAGAGCACTCAGTTTTTTTTCCAAGAATGATGCCGCTCCATCTATGTTGTTTTGGCTTTATGGCTTTTCCACTGGGCAAATCTGCAGGAGGTCAGACCCTGGCAAGTGGCTCTGCTCCTGTTTCATGCATGACAAATTGCCCCATGGAGCAGGTGTCTGCCCAGTCAAAAGCATGCCCAAACCTCATTCTCCTCTGCCCAAATTCCTCCCAGGAGCCAATGTCTATGAGCTGCTGAAGTCCCCGGGCAAGTATTTCACTCTGCAAGACATCGAGCAGGTGAGTGCCAGCCACTATGCAGAGGGCACAAGCTGACCTCCAGTGTGGTCACCTTCCCTCTGTGTCATGCAGGGCCTGGTGCAGCACAAACCTTTGGTGCTCTTCATCACCCATGGCGAGTCCTCCACGGGGGTGCTGCAGCCACTGGAGGGGCTGGGCAAGCTGTGCCACCGGTCAGTGCATGACCAGCACCCGCAGGGACTGAGGGCACCCCAAGGTCACCACTGGGGATTTGGGCCTGCTGATTTATCAAAAAATTATTAAAATTTTGATAAATTTATCAAAAAAATTATTAAAAGTGCTAGGCTTTTCTCTGGCTCTGTTGTGCTGGAAGCAGTTGGTGCCAGTGAGACACGCAGCCCCTGTGGGGACCAGGATGCCAGGGCTGCAGGCAGAGATGTAGCAAGAGGAGGTGGCAGGAGCACGAGGCTGAGCTCTGTTCTCCCACAGGTATGGCTGCCTGCTGCTTGTGGACGCAGTGGCATCGCTTGGGGGAGCCCCCATCTTCATGGACCAGCAGGGTAAGAGCCACAGTGCCATCATGGGCTTCCAGGGGATGAAGGGGCTCATGCCTGGGACAGGGAGAGAGAGCAGTGGGATCAGCCCCTCTGCCTGCATTTTGGCTAGCAGCACTAGAAACTGGGGACCATCAGCAGTGCCAGGGGCCCTCCCAAAGCAGCCTGACCACAAGTAGGACCTGCCATGTGTGCCATCCTCGTGCTTCCCATCCACCACTTGCAGCTAGGTCGGAGGGCTCAGCCTTTTCCTGCTGGGAGCCTCTGGCTCCTAAGGCCTTGTCTTCCCTCTTGGGCAGAGATCGATGTCCTGTACTCGGGGTCCCAGAAAGTCCTCAACGCACCCCCTGGCAGTGCCCCCATCTCATTCAGTGAGCGAGCCAGGTAAGAGCAGCCCAATCTCACCAGGGTGGAAGGCAAAGGGGCTGGGGGAGACCATCTCCTCTCTGCCAGCCCACCTGCTTCAGTCCCGCTCTGTGGAGAGCATGCCCAGCAGCAGTGCTATGGGGGAGCCCATCCCACCCCTGGGCAGTGACTGGGAGCTGGAGCCAATCTCTGTGCTCACTTTAGGGGAGTCCCCGCTCCCACAGGGCCGATCCCACCTTGGAGCTGGTGGTGTTAAGGTTCCACCTCTCCCCAGTATTCTCTTCTGCCAGGGAGAAACTGCTGAGGAGGAAGACGAAGTCCCCATCCTTCTACCTGGACATGGGCTGGTTGGCAAACTACTGGGGCTGTGACGGTGAGCCGCGGAGGTGAGGGCAGGCTCTCTTGTTACCGACGGCTGCAACCACTCCCCACCCAGCCTTTGTCCTGGCTCAGGGGCTGCCTCCCCATCACCCCGGCTGCCGGTCACAACTCTCTGCACTGGGTGATGAGGAGGGAGGATGCCGTGCCTCAGTTTCCCCGGCCACAAGCAAGGGGCTGCTGTGCTGCAGCCGAGCTGAAGCCCTGTGGGTGCCCCTTGAGTTTTGCAGGTACCACCACACGGCACCCATCAACAGCTTCTTCAGCTTGCGGGAAGGCTTGGCCATGCTGGCAGAACTGGTGAGTGGCACCAGGCAGGCAGGGGAGCACCAGCAGCACCCACGGGGCTTGGAGGAACCGTGGGTACCAGGAGATGCCTGTCAACAGCAGAGACCTTCTCTCCCCTCTCTGCCCACAGGGTCTGGAGAGCTCGTGGGAGCGACACCAGACCAACTGCACCCAGCTGTGCCAGGGGGTGCTTGACATGGGGCTGGAGCTCTTTGTGGAGGAGGAGGTGGGTGCAGGGCAAGCCAACCACCAGCACCACGGAGTAGGGGCAGTGTGAGGACACAACCCTGTGCAGCTGGAGATGTGCCTGGGCAGATTTTAATGCCAGAGAAAAAACTCCCTCCTCAGTGATGCTCTCTCCTGGCAGTGTGCTGGGGTCACCAGGGGCCGTGGGACTGAAACCAGTTCCTCTCTTCCTCATCAGAAGGCCAGACTTCCCACCATCACCACTGTCAGGGTGCCTGAGGGCTACAACTGGAAGGACATCACGGCCTTTCTGATGGACAACCACGGCATGGAGATCGCTGGGGGCCTGGGCCCCACGGTGGGCAAGGTGGGCAGAGTCCTCCCCTCCCGCTGCCCGTGGCTAGGCACCGAACCTTGCATCCACCGCCACTCTGAAAGCGTGCGGCTGGCTATGTCCCATTGCCCGGAGCAATCACACAATCACCTCCTAATTGAATAACCGCGAACGTAATTAGCGGGGTGACGCCTCTTTATAGGGAACGGTGTGTTAAATAGGAGCGGGGGAGCTGTGTCGTGTGTCCCCAGCTCCACACGGGGCTGCTGAGACACTCACAAATACTCGCCCTTCCCCTCCAGGTCCTGCGCATCGGCCTCATGGGCTGCAACTCAAGCAGTGCCAACGTGGAGCGAGTACTCCGAGCCCTGCAAGATGCACTGAAGTGCTGCCAGCGCAGCAGGCTGTGAGCACCCCCGGCAGGGGGAGGCTGGGGAAGGTGGCCTGGCGCTGCCTGGCTGCAGGCAGCTGGCAGCAGAGGGTCCCCGCAGCACCCAGCAAGGCAAGGCACAGTGGAAAGAAGCTGCGATAGCAGGGGCCGTGGAGGAGAGGGATGTGCTCAGTAGATTAAGACATGTCTCGAAACTGCTTCTCCCATTACTCCCCAATGGCCTGGCCCCTCAGTTCTTCCCCTTGCCCTGGCCCCAGTGATAGTAAATCATAGAAAATTTGGGGAGGTAGAAAGAAAGGTAGGCTTGGCAAGCCCTGGGGAAAATGTTAAAAGTAGGCCCTGGGAAATGTTAGGCCTTGTGCTTGCTAAGATCATGTGAAACTGCACCTGTATAGTCAGTATATGATAAATGATATAATTGTTAGATGGGATTAGATAGAATTATTGTTTAAAGAATCATGAGAAACTATGTTAGGGGTTTGGGGGGATCATGAGAAATCCGTGCTTGGGTAAAATCAATGCATACAATAGAACAATGTAAGTTTAATAATTAATATGAAAGTTATATAACAATAAAGTATAAAAACACGTTCAACTCAAAACCAAGTCAGGTCAGATTTGGGTCTGTGTACCCCTGACACCCAGATCTCTTAATAAAGCACCTTCATATAACCATTCAGTGATTATGTGTTCCTGAATGCTAACCCTCATGGTGACCCTCAGCAAGCTGACAGAGGGCTGCATGCAGGATATGACCACAGGTCCCTTCCCCTCCCATCACCAACCAATGCCATCCCCCTCCAGGTTCTGTACCATGAAGCACCTAGTGCCCAGGTCCACCAGGGCAGCCAAGAGGCTGTGTATGCCCCACAGCTACAGCAGATGTGCTCTCTTCCCCTGCCACCTTCCCTCAATAAATGACGCAGCAGCACACTGATCTCTGGCCCTGTAGCTCTCCTTGCACCCCACCAGAGTTTTGAGACACCCTAATGGGGCAGCAGCAGGGTCCCACTCAGCTCTGCTGAGGGATTTCAGGAAGGATCTTGCTAAGGAGCTGGGACGCTGCTGAGTGGCGTGCGCTGTCCTGGATCCGGTACACCTGAAACTAAAGGCAGGTGGGAAGTGAGGGGAGAGGGCTTCCCGCTCTGCTTGAGCTCCATGCCCCAGCACTGCCAGCCTCCCACAGCCTCCACAGCATGCCAGAGGGTTCTGTGGGGACAGCTGCAGTGATCCCAAGCTTCCTAGCCCAGGTGGCTTCTGGTGCTGCCTGGCGAGTTCAGCTGAAGGGCTGGGGTTACCTGGCTGAGCAGCATGTCAAAGTAGGCTGTGTCCCAGTAGAATCCATCCTCGGTGGGGAGATGCAGGAGGGCTCGGGTTTCTGTGTCTGCCTGCCAGCTGCCACTGAACCCATGGAGGCCAAAATGGAAGCGGAGGAAGCGCTGGGGTTCCCAGGCAAAGCTCTCAACTTTATGGTAGAGGGAGGCAAGATCCGGGGCCGCTCCTTGGAAGAGGTTTTCCCCTGGGTTCAGGAAGTGGGGCAGGTGCTGGGTGGCCAGGCAGCGGAGAAGGATCACCAAGAGCCGGTAGACAGAACCTTCCAGGTCCTGCCAGTCCTCCGGAGAGGGGAAGAGCTCTGTGCTCCACAGCAACACCATCTGTGCGGAGAGAAGAGCACAGGATCAGCCACAAGGCATGATCCCAGCAAGGCTGTCCCTTCACACCCTGCAGGTCACCATGCAACCACTTGTGGGGCCAAATCCATGGGGGCTGGAGCAGATGATGCTTTTCTGAAGGCCAAATACATACATCTGCCCTTTTTCTATAAAAAAAACCCACAAGCACCACCCCCAAAACATCAAAGAATGCAACACAAAGCAAAGGATACAGGATTTGGGTTACTTGGAGCTGGAGCCATTCTGTAAGCAGAAAACATCCTTGCATCCTTCTTGACCCTTGGCTTGGAGAGCCATCAAAAGGCAGGGCACACCTGGATTGTGCAACCACGTGCTGTCCCCAGCATGGCCAGTTGGCATGGCTCCAGAATGTTGAAAACAGGTTGGGTGGGGAGAGGAGGTTTTTTTCTCATCAGAAACACCACCCTCAGCCCTGCACAGGCATGTCCCAGCACACTAGGGCACAGGGCAGCCTGCAGCATGGCACAGGGGTTCCATCCCGCAGACACAGGCAGCCTGGGCCAGGGGATGATGCCCTGCACACCAGTGCAGAGCCCCAGCTCTGAATTCACAAAGTGTCTCCAGCTGGAGGATGGCTGGTTTAATCCAAGGAAGGCTGGCAGCAGCACACATCCTTTCGTGGCACAACCATGAGCTGGCACACCCCAAAGCACTGCAGGCACTAGCCCTTGTTGGGGTTCCTGTGCAGGGGAGCAGCTGTGGCTCTGCTTGCCCACACAGCCACGGTCCCAGCCAGCAGAACCAACCTACCTTCAGGTGGTTGAAGGTGAGACTGCCTTTCCCATCCTCCCCTCCCCAGTCCTGGTCACGGAGCTGGTCGAGCAGGCGGAGGCTGTCCAGACGGGGTCCCCCCAGGGTGTCCACTTCTCGGAGCAGCTTCAGGATGGGAAGGTGAGTGGAGGATCTGGAGGAAGAGAGTGGCATCTGGTGGGAGGGGTGCTGAAGATCCTTCCAGGATGGGGAGAGTATGCCTGCAGTGACTTGGTGTGTGGGGATACCTCCGTGCCACACACGGGTCCCAGTCCATGCAGCATCTCAGATCTACCTCCTGCTCTTGCCTCTGGCAGAGCAGAACTTCAGAGGTGTGGAGTGAGATGAGAACACTGCTAAGCAGCTCCTCTGCCTTTCCAGGAGAATCAAGAGTGGAGTAAAGTGGGGTTGTGCTCCCCTACGTGTAGTGGGGAGGGGAGGCTGGGTTGCTCCCCAACAAGGGGCCAAGCAGCCAGCTGGACCACTTTGTTTCCAAAATAAACATGGTGTGGTCCAGCTGGCTGTTCAGCCCCACCATGGGGCTGGGTAGTTGTGCTGGCAGGCAAGATACATCAGCCTAGTCCTGTTCTGTCCTCCAGCCCACCTTGGGAGGCACCTCATCACCCTGCTGCTGTCAGGTGCTTAGACTTGTCTCAGAAGCCCAAGCAGGGACCTGAGAGATGCCACCCTCTGTACACTCAGGGTGCAGCTCCAGTGAATAATTATAGGGGGCTCCTTCAGTTGCATTCCCTCTCTTTCCCTGAGCTGTCTGAAACTTGTCTGAGATTTCTTTCTCCAACACAGGGAAGGGGGTTTGCACATCATGGGGGGCTGACTTCAACCCCTGCTGACATGTCCCCGCCCTTTCCCAACCTCTTTTTGCCTACACCCAGCAGTGCAGCCAGCCAGGGGAGATCCCTGGCACAGGATCACCCTGCTGTGCATGCAGCCGTGCCTCTCACCTCCAGCAATGGGGAGAGGCAGGAACAAAGTGTGCCTCTTCTGTGGCCTTCCTGAGGCTGCCTTCAGGGAAGCCACTGTCTCTCCGTCGCCTCTGGAGCCAGAGTGGCTCTTGCTGCCTCCTCACCACAGGAACAATGTCAAAGCGAATGGTCTTCCAGCTGCCACGGATCAGCAGGGAGAGCTCCATGGCATCTTCCCGCAGGTTTTCAGCACTAATGTCACCTAGATGCAGAGGGTTTGGCAGCAGTGAGGAGGTTAGCACAGCCAGTCCCGCAGGCTGAACCAGGTGTGTGCTGCAGCACCCGTGGCCATGTCCCACCCCACTCGACAATGCTGCAGTCTGGCTGCAGTTCCTTGGGTAAAACCCTTCTCCCAGTCATGCTGGGGTGGTTTTACAGGAAGAAGAGTTGCAGGGCTCAAGGGCAGGCACGGCAGGAAGTCTCAAGCGATCAAACCGAGCTGTGCTTCTGGGCAGCTGAACAGAGCCAAGAAAAGCAATGCAGCCCAAGAAAAATGGATCACAAAAGGTTCATTGCTTTGTGCGGGTGGAGGAGGATGAAGGACACTGGCTTGGCCACGGAGAAAGGAGGGGATGGTGGACTTCCTTTGACTGGGTTAGGAGACTTTCAGACCCACTGGTCCTCTCACATCACCCTTTCACCCTGGTTGAGCTTTACTTCAAGAAACACACTGGGAGAGGAAAGTGCATGAAGAAGGTTAAGGAACTGCTGTGGGCATTTCCCAGGGTCCCCTCCCACCACATCTTTTCCAAGGACACTGCTGCCAGCTGGGGCTGGGGTGTTCACAGGGTCAGACCCATGCCCCAGGGTCCTGCTCCAGCTCTGACACACTCCCAGCTCACTCTCCAAACAGCCTCCTCTAGGGAGCAGGGGGCACTTGGAGGCCAAGAGGTGGAGGGGAGAATGTGGTTAGGGTAAACCCTAACTTAAGCACACCAAGTCCTTAAGCAAACCCTACCTGGGGACTAGCAGCAGGGCTGGGTGAACCCTGCACCCACCAAGAAGGGTGCCATCTGTCCCAGGTGAAGATGCCTGAGGATGACTGATGCCCTGGGATGGGAGGGAATAATAGTTTGCATCTCCCCTTCCTTAGCTGGAGGCAAAGCCCATCCGAGCACGCAGCGAGGTGCTTGCTCACCTGGCCTGCAGGTGGGCCACATGCCCAGGAACATACCTCCCAGCATGTTTGCATAGGGATCACTGCCAAGCTGGGAAGCTGGGCAGGCACTGGAGGCAGCTCCTGGCTGGGAAGCACGCTGCCAGTGTACGTACCTGGCTGAAGCAGGAAGAGGCGCTGGCAATGCACGATGGCTGAAACAAGGAGCTCTTTCAGATGCTGGAGGATTTTGCCTGGAAGCAGGCACCCCGCACCACCTCCATGCTCCATCACATCCACAACACCAGTCCAGTCCTCCAAACCAGTCCCTGGAGAGCACACTCCCAGATAGCAGGTGTTCAGCTCTGGAGGATGCCTGCCTGGGGTGTCCCTGGGCTGGCACGCCAGCACACGCAGGGTATCACCGTCAATACGCACGGGCATCTCGAGAGCGACAGCGTCCTCAGAGGCACAGAGAGAGAACTCCAAGGCTTCCAGGTTCCTGGCGTACTCCACGAGGAAGCGGGGTTCCCTGGCATGGACGCTCTCCAATAGGGTGAGCAGGATGTCCTCGGCCCGCTGGAAATGCTCCATCCGCTGCCTCTCGCGGGACACGACCACCCCAAGGTAGCTGTGCCAGAGGGAAGTGTTGGCTTCCATGGCAGCTCTGCCGCTCTCTATCGCTGCTCCGAGCAGCAGTGAAGGTGCGTGGGCAGGGAGGGCAGGGCTGGGCGCCGGCGTGGGGCGGGCGGAGGGAAGCAGAGCCGGGCGTTGACAAGCACCGGGTGCTGGGTGGCTCCCAGGGACAGGTACAGGGCAAACCCAGGGCGGGGGCTTGAGTCACACCGTGGCCCCACTTCTGGCACTCCAGAAAGGTGACGGCGGTGCTCAGTTGGTGGGTCACGGCAGGGTAACTCTGTGTGCTCTCCCACACCCTCCATGGCACAGGGACTGCGTGCGGACAGGTCCCTCTCACAGCCAGCGTCAGGTGAAGGGACCCACTGTCCTCCCAGCCCAGCCCAGCCCGGCCCAGCCCAGCTCAGCCCAGGCAGCTTTTCCTGACCTGGGTGGCGCCCACAGGAGCTGGGCAGACTGACTGCTGCTGGAGCCGCGCCGTGCGGCGGGGCTGTGGAAGGGCTGCAGGACCCTGAGCGTGCTTTGCCGATGCTCTGTCAACACCGGGCTCCGGCTCCATCAGCCCCCAGCTTCCCAGGTGCGGGGGCCCCCGGCGCCCCTCTACGAGCGGGGCCGCCTCGCTGCGCTCACCGGGGCTCGGTTTCCTGCCGGGCTGCGGGAGGATGGGCCCCGGAGGACTCACAAAGCGGGGCTTTCGACCCCAAAGCCGCTTTGGGGAGGGGTCCGGGGGCGGAGGGGCCGGTCCATGCGGTCCCTCAGCCCAGCCGCTGCAGCCCCCAGCCCCGCTCCGAGCTTTGGGGTTCGCTGCAGCCCGAGCTGCCCGCGGTGGTACCCTCAGAACTGCCCTCATTTCTCCCCATCTCTCACAAATCCCCGGATGGGGATTTCCGGGCATGTTTTTGGGTGCCGTCACCTTCCAGAGGTACGTTCGCTCCCGAGCTGCGCAGACCTGGAGCCGGAGCTCAGTGATTGTGGCTGGAAGGTTGGGTTCTCACTGCAGGACAGCGTAGTTCAGCTGTTCCATATGGATGCTAAATCTGAACCAGAGTGCCTGTAGCTATTACAGGCTACACAGAGCTCGATCCTGCCTGAGAGCTAGCCTGAGAAATTCATAGGAGGATTTCAAAACAATCCTCAAAAACAGAAAACAGCCATGCCAGGTGCTGTTTGTCTGTCCTCTTGTTTTCCTTGCAGGAGAGGGTCAGGAGGTGGTGTACACCACTGACCAATGATGGTGATGTAGCAGTTTACTAACCAATAAGAATTTCCTTTCTGTACTTTCCATGAACTAGTCTATAAAACAAGTCTAAAGTAATAAACTAAGGAATTCTCCTGTTCTGACTCCATGAGAGTCTGTGTCATTCTCTTCTCGCCATTCCTAATAGAACGACAGTCCCAGGCTTTCCTGCACACTGATTCAGAGCAGGGAAAGAAATGGGAAAGTGAGGGAGGCTCTGTGGCAGCAGGGGGCCCGAGATTAGCATGGGGACCATTTCTCTGGAAGGGAGGGAGTGTGCCATGGGGCTCATGGATGGTCGTCCCACCTCCTGTGGCTCATGCTCACCCTTTTAAACAACTCAGATGAGGTTTCTGGATCTCCCCAGGGGTTATTTCCAGTTCGTCCTTGTGCCTCCTTCAGTTCCCTGTGGCTGAGGAGGTGCCCTGCAGACAGGAGCCTGTCCCTCATGTTCATTTACTCTTCTGCCAGCTGACTGAAGGAGCTCCGAGAGTCAGAGCTTCCACCTGCAGAGCATCCTTGAGCACATGAAGTTCGAGTCATTAAGTCTGCACTGGGCTCCTCACTACCAGAAGGCTGTGGGTGCTCTGAGCTGGGAAGTCTCAGCCATATTTTAAACCCCCACAGTGGGTGATGGGCCCTGCATCTCCTTACCTGAGCCCTGCCATTCAGGTTTCACCCCATCTGAGCAGGGGATGCTCAACCCCCCACACCAATGGCTGTCTCAACAGGGCTGAGGGGGTAGGTCTTACCCTCCCTCATCATGTGGGGAAGACAAGCTGGCTGGCATCCCAGAGAGGGACTGAAAGCAGCGGACCCCTATCAGAGGTGACTTGGGCTCATCCTGAAGAATGCTGAACCCAAGCCAGGCAAGACAGATTACTGCTTCATGCCTTGGTGTGGGAAGGAGAGGGCAGAGAGATGCAGGCCACCACTTTTCTGAGGCATAGCTCACTGCTGGCAGGGTTGCTGTGCACCCATGGAGCATCATTTTGTCATGGATGGAGTCCCTGCTGCAGCAGCAGCCAGGACATTCCTTCTGTCAGTGCCTGGCAGGAATGCTGGAGGAGGCTGTGGGCATCATGCAGAAGCTGAACTGAGAGCCAGGAGTGGTCCTATAGGAAGGTAAGGCTGGGCTGAGCAGGGAAACACAGCTGTCCCCCTGATGTCTTGGTGCTAGTGGGGTAACCCTGCTCTCTTGTCACAGTGCTGGCTGAGCCCACAGTGTGACCCTCACATCCTGCTGCCAGAGCTCTGGTGGCAGGAAGAGCCAGTATGATGTGATCCCCTTGGCTCATCTCTGCTTTGACACCTGCACTTTTTGGGCCTCTGGGTGCCACAATCAAGAGTTTGGTACTGCAAATACTGCCTTCTGCCCCTTCTGATGCAGAAGGTAGCATTTGGGACCTCCACTGGAACCTCCCCTTTCCTCCTTCCCCCTTCTGCCTTTCCTTTCCTCCTTTCTTCCTCTTTCTCCCCTTCCTGTTCTTCACCTTTTCTCCTTTCCTATTCCCCTTTCCCCTTCCTCTACCACTTTCTCTCCCCTTCTCATTCTCTCCCCTCCCCCATAGGCAAGGGGCCAGGGGCAGGCCCTGGAGGAGCATCTTCCTGGCTGCTGCCAGGCACAGGCAGCACAGTGAGGGACCCTCCTGCAGGCACTGTGTGAGAAGGAAGTGATGCTGAGCAGTGACACATCTGCTGACAAAGATGGTGGGAGCAGCTGGAGGTGCTTCCAGATGCTGAGCAATGCTCTGAGCAGGAGGGAGCAGAGCTGGCATGGCAAAGGAATGGTGTGGATCAGGTGGTGGGGGCAGAAGCTCTGTCCCACATGGATGGGTGGCTGAGCCCTGCTGGGGCCATGCTTCAAGGGGTGAGCCATAGGGCAGGGACACTGTGTGGCTGGGCATTTGGGGCAACACCTGGACACTTAACCCTGCAATCAGGCCAAGCTGAGCACACCTCCATTGGCCAAAAAACAGCAGGAAAAAAATTCTAGCAAGAAGGTCAGCTACGCTATGGAAGGCATGGCTGGAGTGCACAGTGTCTGGACAAGCAGAGGCTGGTGTCAAGTGCTTTGGTAGTGGCAGAGAGTCTGGCCTGAATGAGCTAATAACTGTTTCCATCTCACTATTTTACGGTTCCATTAATTTTAGCTCTGTTAAAGGAGTGAGAAGACAACCCCAAAATAACAGCCAAGTGCAAGCAAGAGAAAGGAAAAAAAACCTGGGGGCATGGGAGCACTTGGCACAGCAGAGGTGGGTGAGGAGCAGCAATGAGCCCCCAGTGTCTCTCGCCCAGCTTGCCTCTCTGTAGGGTTGTGCAGTGTGACTGCTGCACCCTAGACCCTGCAAGGTGCCATCATCACCCAGCACAAAGATCCTGGGGTGCTGAGCTGGTGGGTTGAGGAGATGGCAGGGCACAGGGGCACTGGCATGTGGGAGGTAGGTTATGCTCTGCCCCAGCACCGCAGTTCCACACCAGCACTTCTGCACCCCACAAGCCCCCAGAGTGGCATGGCCCCCAACAGAACAGCTGGGATGGGGAGGGGGGACAAAGGCAGGGAAGGTAGAGAGGAAGAGAGAGTAATTTAACATGACAGGCTGTTTATTTTGGCAAAAGGGGTCTCTTTTCAACAGATTTCAAAGCTCGGCCCTGAGGCTTGAGGGGGACCACACAGAGGGGTGGGAGATGAGAGGTGCGAGATGGGGGTTTCAGTGGGGCATCCAGACTGAGAGGGAGGGTGAAGAATCTCCTGTTTGTTCATCCCTGGGGCAGGGCCAGGTCTTTAAGTTTTCCCATTTCAAGCCCTGGGTGTGCTGCAGCAGGGTGTCCCCATGGGTGCCCACGCTCTCACACACACATGCTTGCCTACATGCATCCACACACATTCGCATGCTCCCCCTGCCCCTGCTCCTTCCTCCAGGCTAGGGCTCAGCTGGAGTATTGGCTTCCCCCAGTGACATTTCAAAATAGGCTGTTTATTAAAAAAACAAAACAAAACAAAGAAACCCCCAAAAAACCCCAAAACAAAACCAAAAACCACCAAGGTGGAGTGGGGGGGGATTGCTAGGAAAGAAATAATTATTATAATCACATTAAGAGCTTTGGCTGTAAAACTCTTGTGAGGGCACAGGGAAGGAGCCGGGGCTGCTCTCTGCGGGGAGTACAGGGGGCGGTTTTCCTGCCTTGTGCTCTTTTATTTTCCAGTCCTGATCCAACAACACCTCCCCTCCTCCCCCCCTTTATCCTGGGAAATGAAAACAATTTGTTTAATGATGGATCATCCCTTTCTCTGGTCACTGACCTTCTGCGTGAATTTCTGCTGAGCTCGGCGGAAAACTCGAGGCTGGGTTGTGGATCCCATCTGTGGATGGGGGAGGGGGGGAGCTCACCCTTATCCTTCCCCAAATCCACAGCAACAATCCTGGGGAGCAGGACAGGGCTGGCAGAGAGAGTCCTCACCAGAAGTCCAGAAGCACACTTTGCTGCAGGCACTATCCCTGCAGACTGAGGGCTTTGGAGGCAGGTATGGGGGCCCCAGAGCCTTCCACCCCCTTCCCCTTCTCTCCTGGGACTCCTTCAGGCGTTCCTGGCACCCGCTGCCTTCTCCCCGACCTGCTCTGAGCTTGGGGTGCAGTGCCGAGGTGGGAGTGGGCAATGGAGAAGTGATCTCTACTCTGCCAACAGCCCTTGCTGCCTAGGGGGGGTTTTCTGGCTCAGGGTGTCTGTGGGAAGCAGTTTTCGGATGTGATCAGGAAGGCGTGTGGGGCTGCGTGGGGCTCCCAGC